TGGAAAGCTGGCCTATGTACCACAAATTGCAATGTCCACTAAGCTTGTTGCCTAAACCTATAAAGTGATAATAATGTTCTAGGTATCATTTTCTTTCTACTTGTTAATTGTAAGCTTGGCAAGCCCTTTATAAGTGGTTGGTAATCATACTCTAACAGGTGGAATGCACATGGAACTCTCTGAATTTTACATTAAAACCTGGGATCCTAGGGGTATTTAGGAGAACAATGGGTTTTTAGATTTTTTAAAAAAACAAAACTGACGCTCAGGTTAGTTTAAAGTTCCAACAAAACCCTTTAAAGAGAGTACTTCAAATAAGCATTCTGTAGTTAACTTTCATGTTTAGGAATGCTATTAGCGGAATAATGTAGCTGGTTTTTCTCAGGTGTCTCGAAAATCTGTGTCTCAGGGAGCAACTACCACTTACATATGATCACTTCCCACTCTGTGGAAGTAGTTAACTACTTCTTCAGAGAAAAGAAAATACTTAATACTGCATACATAAGGATACGTTTCTTAAAGCACTTTCAGGATTAATATCCAAATTAATATTTAGTTTTGCATCAATTCATTTATTTTCAAAAGGGTCTTGATTCTAGCTCATTTTGTTATCAGACAAAAACAATTTTTTGTTTTGCTAGACGGTAAGAAGCTATTACTAACATGTCACCCCATTCCCACTCCCCTTGGTTTTCATGAACTAAACTGAAGGAGAAATGTAACAAATATTACTTCACATAACAGTTGCTTAATAATGAGCATTTCTGTTAACATTTTGTTTCCTAGAAGTTGCCATAAATAATCTCTAAAAAGTTTCAGATTTTGAGAATTAAATTATGCGCCACTCAAACTCTTTCAGTAATTAAGTAAGCACAAGGGTTTGTGAAGTTCAGAAAGAAGTTTAGATATCTGCAGAGACATAAAGTCACAATCACAGCAAGTTCCTCTCTCTAGTTTTCATTTGCAAAAAGCATTCATGAAATAGGCAAGCAGTTTGTCCAGCTCTCAAGAGAAGGGCCCCGCTTTGTTTCTGAAATCAGCCCAATACCCACATATTCACCTATGCTGTCTCTCCTCAGAGCAAAGTAAAAAACACATCACAAACTTTGTTCGACCCTTCTCCTGTGACTCTTTCAAACAAAACAACTAATTTGAAATTTGTGACTTGAACAACAGAGAATCCTTTGTATTAAGTAACCATAATATACTGCTTTCTTTTGTCTTTTGTGTGAGTGAAATTCACACATAACAAAGATTATTAGTCATATCATACTGTTGTGTGAATAGGAAAATATACACAAAATAATCAAGATACCACAGCAAGATACCACAGCAAGATACCACATGTCCAGAATAGTTAAGAGACTTTCCCAAGGCCACTCAGATCTTCACAAAAACAGAGAAGAGAAAAATAGGATGAGTCAAGAGGAAAAATCTCTGATCTTCTAGAAGGATAAATAAGTCTTACAGCAACCCTAAGATTCCAAAGCCATGAACAAATATTTGAGGAACAAATTTCTGTTTATAATTCTCTCTTCTGCAAGAGTCAAGAGATCTAAAACAAAAAGAGAGAATTAGAGAAATTAAGTTAACCATAATTTCTAAAATGAATTATTTTATAAGGTGAATCCTCAAAAATACAAAGTATGGGACTGCAGCTATAATTCAGTGGTTGAGCACATGTCTTGCATGTGTGAGGCTCTGAGTTCTATTACCAGAATCCATGATACTCCACCACTACTAGAAATGACCCACAAACACTGGGCTTCACATTCACAATCCTCCCCACCCAATTCTACAGCTCATCGTATCACTTTTTATTAAAGATTCAAATTTTAACTCTCTGAATACTGCTCTGTAATAGCCGAGTTCACAACACCACCAATGAAATTTTGGAGAAAACAAATAGAGCAGAATGTTATTTGTTTGATTTATTCCTCTCTTTGTTACTACTTAGTAGTAGCTTTGACAAAATTTAAGAAATTGGATTCTGAAGACTCCCTACAGTGTTATCAGCTAAGATCCACTGTGAAGGATGAGGCTAAGACATCATAAGACACAGGATTTGCATTTGCCTCCACCTCTTCAAATAAACCATGCATTGTTGATGAATGTTGTCTGGTTGTTTCACACTGATGAAGCTGATTTCCCAAGGGTTCTACAAATAGGAAGGAAAGGTATGAAATGCAAAAATCCTGACATCAAGAAGCTGGATACAACTAGGTAAGGTAAACCTTCACTAGATGCCTTCCTTCTTTCTGATAATAAGTATCAAAGACTGAAAAGAAAGAAACTCCTGGCCACTATGAGTCTGTTATTGGCAGTGAATGAACTTTACCTTTGGGGAGACTGTGTTCGGTGACAGAATTTGACTTTGACCTTTCTCATCATGACAATAAGTAATGCTCGCTTTTGAGCAAGAAGCATACAGATTTTTCTCAACAAAGAAATTTGTTGAGAAAAAGGCTGCTTTAATTTTTCATGTTTCTTCATTTTATTAAGCACAAAATTTATGACAGCAATAGTATTTTCTATCGAATAATTAAGAGGAAGGGCCATGTTTTCTAAGTTGCTATACTCTCTCTCTCTCTCTCTCTCTCTCTCTCTCTCTCTCTCTCTCTCTGTCTCTCTTTCTCTCTCTGCTGGACACACTCTGTATGTTGGGTCATCATTATAATCTCTGCTGGAGTTAGGATATTTCAATTAACTGGCAAAAGTTACCTATCACCCTCAGAGATGGTATGAAAAGATCACAATGACAATGACAATGAGGGCAATAGCTAACATTTACTGAATACTAATGTGTTCAGCACTATGTTAATTATCTTGAATGAATAATTTCATTTAATTTCCCATTAAGCCAGGGAGTTAAGAACTAGTATTATACCCTTATTATAAATTAGATAAAAACTAAAACATTTTAAGTGATTTGTTGCAGAGGAACAAATTCATTGTTGAGACTAGTTAGTAGTAAGGAAAGACAACACATCTTTCTAATGGGAATCTTCCCCCAAAGTTCATAAATTTCTACTGCACAGCATCAGCTCTTTCATAATCAGGCCTTGATCTACTTTCTTCCTCTGTTTCCCCTCCAATCTCTCTCAAAGATCCTACTGCAGTCAAATGCATTAACTCACTGGACTACAAAATGGAATCCTGTCTCCCATGTTCTCACTCTTTCTGTATCAAAATGGACCCATCTTCAAGTTCAAGTGCAACTTTCTTCAGGACATCATCCAAACCATTCAAGTACAACCAGATGGAGTAAAAACTTTGTTTTTCCTAATTCCATTCATCATTCTCACTCAGATACTGGCCATTGGACAAGTAGATTATTTTATAAATCATAAATAATGCAACATATAAGCATGTTTTAAATTCCATGAATAAACACAATATCTGGCATGTTGCAGTTCTATCATGAAAATTTCTTTCTATCAAGTCTTGGACCCCCTCAAATTTTTATTGTCATAGATATTCTTAAAGAAAGCAGATAAACAACAAAGAATCATTGAGGACAGAAGGATCTATAGAGCTTTACTCTATGTATATTTAATTTTGCTCCCATAGTTGCTGAAAGATGACTCAAAGTGGACTCTAAATTGGTTTTAAATTGGAAGTTTTTGGAATGCTTATGGCAGGCACAAGTGTCAGGACAGTTCGTTTCTGCACACACGTTTCCATTCAAGAACAAACCACAAGCAGTGCCTAGCAATTCTAATTTTCTGTACATCAACATGACAGGTGGTAGACACTTCCCTAACATTGGCATGAGAATTGGTAAACTCAGGGCTACACATCTAAAATATGCAGCAACAATAAACCAGATTCCTGACTTCAAGAGAGTGTTCAGAACTACATCTTGAATGACAGAGCCATGTGCTATGTTGGCAAATACAGAAATCTTTACCTGGGGAGCAGTAGCAACGCAACTAGAAAGAATTCAGGGTCTTTTTAAAGACTACAATAAGGGTGGGCTCTGATTATATAAAATGTAATTAATTCCTCTTTCTCTCATACCAGGGGCAACTGTCTTCTGTGTATGTTTGTGTGTGTGTGTGTGTGTGTGTGTGTGTGACAGAGAACTGTGTAAATATGAAGAATCTTTATTAAAACCTCTAGTTCTTATATTAAACATGAGAGAAGAAATCGAAACTCCCATTTTATAAGTATAGAATCGTTCCATGATATAAAACCAAAAGAAAGAACAAAAGAGGATGAAGACCATGGTGGGGGGGGGGGGGGCAATTACCCAGAATAATTAGACAATGGATGCAGGCATCAGCCAGGGAGGATCAAATGCCTACTGTGGAACACTGACTTAAGAGGTGAAATTATTTCTGCCTGAACTTTCTTTATGGAAAAACTGCTCAGGAAAAATTACTTGCTTCCTTTGCCCGACAAAGAAAATTTAGGCAGATGCTCTTCAACTTCGATTTCCACGGAGGCAGAAATTGAAATTGCTATCTGTAGAACAGCTTTTGTTCACTTTGAAGACCACATCGCATCAGAATATGTGACAGGTCAGAGTTATTGCCCCATTATTGGGGCGGGGGGGGGGGGAGGGTTCCTAAATAAAGTATTTATTATCTGTGCTTTCTTCATTTCATTACTAATACAAAGCCCCTGTTCTCATTAAGGACTGGCCAAGTCTCATTGCCATAGATAGGAGACCACAAAAACATTTCTACAGTGAAAGGACCGAACTAGGTTCACCTACTAGAAAAGGCAAATCAAACAAACAAAAAAAATACCAGACAATGACAGACCTTCTCACATTCACAAGTAACATAAGGGGCAGAGGTCCATGGGTCGTCTAACTTATTCAAATTAAGATAGCATTACTCCTCACATGCATTTCTAGTGTAGAGCCAGAAGCCCAGAAACTATGGACCAAAGTCGGGTTTCCTGCAGCCCCCCCGCCCCCCCCCCCCCCCCCCAGGCAGAAACAAACAGCTTCAGAAACAGCAACGAGGAGAAAGAAGACTGTGGGTGCATACCTTAACCTCCTGATTGGTAAAGACCTCGATGTCCACCACGCAGGCAACAAGAGTGGAAACATCACAGTCCATGCTAGGGGCTGGCATTCCCCCTCCTGAATTTTCAACAAAGAGTTAGGCCCCTTGAGTTGCGCTGGACGGAAGGAGCCTCTAGGTGGGGGTTTGCTGTGAACAGAACAGCAGGGGCTACTGCCTGGCCCTGGGGCTCGCAGGAGCTCAGCACCTGAGCTGCTCCGGCTGCTCACAGCCCGCCGCGTCTGAGGCTGCACAGCGGAGTACGGAACGGCCGGCAGCTCTCTCACGGCAATGACATCACCACCAAGACTGACACAAGCTGAAGCTATTCTCCCCCCAACCCCCCAAGCCTTTTATCTCTAGGCAGTGCAGCGGAGCAAATTGAACATGATTATGTGCTAAATCTGAACTCAGACTAAATCAATTCGGGCAGCAGCGTTCGTTCGCTAGGAACTGAGTCATAGCTGTTGTTTCAGCGGACTGCTTATGTTTGCAAAAAGCAGGGGGGAAAATCTGACACCAGAGGCTCTGTTTAGGAGGGCTGGGGGAAGGGGGATAATTCTGCGGATGAGCCCCTTGAGGTTAAGATGAGACTATTTTCTGCCTCGGAGAGGAGCAGGAGGTTGAGACGTTTCGCACATTGCTTGGCTGGTGCTAATTATGATCCTGTGCCACTAGGAGCAGCCACCCATGTTCCGGGCACCCTAAGGTGTCCTGCATGGACTGAATGGAAATCTGTACTTGGAGTCACTAGGAGCTGGACAGCAGTCATTCAGGCATCCTGCTTAGAAAAGACAATTAGAGGTTTGTGAAATTCTATTTGAAGCACAAAGTGCCGACTGGTAACTTTTCTAAGCAGCCTTCCAAGCTTGATTTCAGACTGCCTCCAAGGTCATTCGAGCCCAAAGCGGCCACGACAAGGAGTGATGGCATAAGCTTAGCATGCAGCATGAGGGGACAGATGGCAGTCTGATGGGCAAATGCACTGAAGTGGGTCATTGTCTGAGCCTCAGGGCTCAATTTTGCCTGAGACTTTGAACATATCGATTGCTTTCTCATCTCTTCCTGATTGTGAATCCCTGAAGGGCAGGACTGTGGATAATTCTTGAGTCTTTAGCTGAGTGTCTGGCATCGGTAGGTAAAAATTGTTTAATGAATAAATCAACTAAACAGGAATAGCCTTCTTTCACAATGGTAGTAGGCAAAGGAAAACTACTAGAATTGTCTTTGATCTGATCATTAGTTATAAAGGTCCCGGCAGAGCTCAGACCCATGCTGGAAAAATCAATCTCAGGTAGAAATGCAGTTGCAACTTCAGTGGGTGTCAGAGCATCAGACTTTGCCACAGTCACCTTCAAACACATGATTGAATAGAGTGTTTCAATTTTATATGCTCATGAGAAAGGTGACACTTCAGATTAAAGATAGAAGTTCTGTGGTAGGTCCTCATTGGACTGTACTGGAGTTTAGGATTCAGCTTCAACAAGCCCTTTCCTATGCTAACTGAAATCACTCCACAAATACAAATATTTAGACAGATGAAACTATATGATTGAGGGTGGGGAGAGAGAGAGAGAGAGAGAGAGACAGAGACAGAGAGACAGAGACAGAGAAAGGAAAAAGAGGGGGAGAATGAGTGAGAGGAAAGAAACAGAGAACAAAAGAGAAAGGGGGAGGGGAGAGTGGGAAGTAAGAGAAGTAGGGGAGAGGACAGGGAATGAAGAGAAAGAAAAGAAAGGGAGAGAGGGAGAAAGGGGGGAGGGGAGAGCACTGTAGGGACTATAAAGTCAAATCCACGCAGAATTCCACCGAATGATGACTATGTGCAAAACCTTGTACCAGATGCTTTTAAGAGTAAAACAATGAACAAGCAAAATCTATCATCCAAAGGACTTAAATTTCAGAGAAGGTGATTAGGACAGAGACAGGGACAGAGACAGAGAACATGGGCCTCTGCTTGCTCCTGAAAGTCAGGCAGACAGGTGCAGGGACACTCCAATGTGGGGAGCCAACTAGAACTGTCTAGAAAAAAGAACAAAGCAGGGTACCGGGGAACAGAGGGCGAGGCACACTGGAGGTTCCATTTGAACTGGGGGTAGCCAGCCTATACGATTGGGAGACTCCTCCTGCTTATCTGGTCACCCATGGCATGGGAGGCGAAGGTTTTTAGAAAGACAAAGGGGTTGCTATACAAATCTAACTAAAATGTCTAGGACCCACAAAGATGAAAATGATTCTGAATATTAGTGACAGGAATTTAAGAGGTAAAACAAAAACAAAAGATGATTCCTCTCCCCCACAAATTTTATTTTAGGTCATTTTCTAAAATCAACTTGAAGTTAACCAATGCTACTAAATTTTATACTTTAAAATGGCAAAGATGATAAATCCTACACTATTTATATTTTATCACAATTATAGATGTTTAAATAATAATGTTTAAATTATTACTATGGAGACATTTATAATATTACTATTATCATTATCATAAAACTTAAGGCCTCACCTATGTTAGTCACATACTTGGCCCCTAAACCAAGTGTTTCTTATAATATTTTTAAGATTTAAAAATTTTAAGATATAACGAAGCTTTTCATCATATTTTTTAATTCTTTAAAACAAGACTCCTCTCCCCCTTTTCTGTTTAGTTCTCTTTACATATCTACGTAAACTAGTTATCCGGTTCTTTCGTCTTGTAGCTCAGACATACTTAACGCTACCATTTTTAGACTTTAAAACAAAACTTTTAAATTATAGTTTAGGTCACATGGATACAATAGCACTAGTATTTATGGTACTGACACACATAGTTACTGCATCTTCATCACCACCAGAGAGTCCAATACCTCTTCCCACTGCTTGCTATCTCAGTTGTCATTCAAGACAAGTGTCTGTCATTGTTCAAAGCTGGCTCTATAGTGCCCCTTGTTTTCACAGTGGTGACATATTGGTAGGAATTCGAGTCTCAGGTCTCTGAAAATTCAGCTCAATATGTAACACTGGCTGGTTTTTGTGGTGCAAATATTCTTATGGAGGAAGAAGACCAGGTCTGGCTCACCCCTTGAATAAAAAAACTCCAAATTTTAACAAGTAAAATAAAACATAAGTAGAGGGATCAGAACAACAGAGGTGGCACTGTGGATGGGAGTTATAGAGATACAGAAGGTATGAGTTCAGTGATACCTTTTGACCTCCAGTACCTTCCACCTGAGGCCCTCTGCAGGCCTTCCCAGCTGACAGGAGCACAGAGCTTCGTCCTGGCTTCTGCTCTTCCAGGGACTGACAACATTAAGGCATGAGATGTGACAAGATGCCTTAAAGGAGGTCACTTCCCGGCTTCTTGTAGGCCAGGCATTTCTCTAGGTCTGACACCTTAGTGAATGCACTCAGCTCCAGTGAGTGGGAGAGGATGCATGTCTTCCAGCCCCAGAGGAGGCAGCAGGTCTATTTTGCTAATGAGCACAGATGTCTCCATTACAACTACAGGTTGTGAAAGGCTTTGCTCTTTCTATGTGTCCTCCTGGATCACTTACATGTGCTCTTTAATGCTTATCACAGAAAACATATTCAGAGGCGGAGAGTATAAGAATGAGCCTTCATGCATCCAGCAGCCATATGTCAAAGTAACTTGGAGCCAGTAATTGTCCTCTTGGAATTAGCCCCCTTGGAAGACCCTTGAGGTCATGATGGTATTTGGATTTTAACCAGCCCTCCAAGTAATTCTCATGCAACTCTCATTAAGACAGAGAGCTACTGCTCCAGGTCTCACTCACTTCTGCACTCACTCCAGATGATTTTGCAGTAGATCTCAGGCATCATATCAGCCCATACACACAACTTCCATTAGATTGCTCTAAAAAGTAAGGGCTTCTGCTTTTGCAGTCACAGTACCTATTATGATATCCCTCCCAAGCAACACAGATTTTCTTGCTATCATCAAATATCCTGCCAGTGTTCGCAGTACTCCAACTGTACTACAAATGTTCTCTTTTCTCCTAGTCCCCTCATTGTCCTCTTATTACTGTTCATAGCCCTTCCTTCTTTTCTTCCTTGGCAGGACAATTTATTTACACAGGGATCCTTCACCCTACTGGTGTCTCTTAATCTGTTGACACGTCTTTTCATTTCTTTTCTTTTTTCCCTTATAGTTTGTATTGATGGTGTAACCATGGTATTAAAAAATTTTTCCTGTTCTGGATTTTTTTGATGACCTCTACATAATATCATTTAATTGATTCTTCTGTCACTGTCCTCCCATTGTTCATCGATTTGCTCAAGCGGGCCCAGTAACGTCTCCATTGTGAGACTTTGTTGTTACTGTATTTGGCATATTGAATATGCCACGGGTAGCTTGCCAGGCTTTGCCATGCGGGCGAGATACTCTCGGTAGCTTGCCGCAGGGCTATCGATGAGGGGTGGAAGAATCGAACTCGGGTAGGCCATGTTGGCTGCGTGCAAGGCAAACACCCTACCCACTGTGCTGTCATTCCAGCCCGATTGTTCTGTGATCTTGTTAAATCCAGAGGCTTGATAAGGATTCAGGTTTGGCAAAAACACTTCAGAGATGGTTTGTATACTTCCAGCACAGTGAATATAATGCCTGGATTTTTTGTGCAAATCACAATCTTTCACAATTAATGCCTATGCACATTGTTACATTAAAAGTTGCGTAATGATCCCTCTTCATTTGTTCATGAAACACTTCTAGTAGGGGTAACTAATTTTCCTATACTTTCAACTTACCTTAAGCTACATTTTTGGAAGGGAAGCAAATTAAACATTTGATTCTTTAACTGTATGAGCAATGTTTTAAAAGGTGTGTGTGGGGGTTAAAAGGGTTTGTGGGGGTGGGGGTAAAAGGAGGCAGAAGGATCGTTCAGGAGGCTGAACACATTCTGTGCAGGCAGGAGGTCAGGTTTGATCCCTGCCACTGCATATCATATCACCAGAGTGACCTCTGAGCTCAAGGCTGGAGTAATCCCAAAGGACTGCCAGTCATGTCCCCTAAGCCAAACATAAATAAATACATTTTAATATAAAAGAGACTTGTTTCCCTTTCTTCTTCAAAGATGACTGGCTTTGTTCTTTTAAGTATCATTATGAATTCTCCAAGTAAACATGTGTGATGGGCTTAAATCCACTGTTACCTTATCTTGTTGATACTTCCTTTGACTAGAGTCTAATTAGGTTGGTTCCTAAGTCTTTTTGACACAATCCCAATTGTCTTTGCAGGCTCCGTTATCTTTTGGCCTGAGAAGATGTTCCAAGCTCATCTTTTCACTTCCTGTCCCTGACAAGGAATCGTTCATTTCTTCAAGGAATCCTAGTTCCATT